TGGACACTTGGGGTGGGGTTTCCCATTTTTCATTAATTACCACATTCTGACAACTTCCTGTTGAAAATTATATCTGGTTAGAAACCGTCATATGACAAATGTATTTGTAGAATGAAACCTGTTCGTAATTGGGGGTTGCAGTCCTCCCTTAATGCTGCCTATCTTTAATTAGTTTATTTGTCTTTAATTAGTTTATTAGCCAATCTCCAAAAAATATTACCATGACGTTCGGTTTTGTATTGGTATTTAGAATAATACTTGTATATCAGCCTGTTAGTTTTGACCTTAAGAAAATTGAAAAGGGCTGTTCATTAATGTCAAAAGAAAAAATGTGTTTATCCACCAAAGTTCTTGTGAACTGAAATGTTTTAAGGAATTTTCTTTTCCTTTTGTATTTTCAAGTTTTCACACAGTTAAAGTGTTGTGGTTTCTTTCTTATTTTTTCCTTGACCTCAGACAAGAAAGAAAAAGAGAAAAAATTCTTTTGGTTAAGATGTGTCGAAATTCAGAAGTAACAAATAAGTTTCATCTTTCCTGCCAATTCAGAGTGCTTGATGTCCTGGAACACTTTCATGAGAATGCTTATGAGCTAAGTTCAGGATCATTGGGAGAGACTGCCAGGATTCTTTGTCCACCAAGGGTGACTAAGGAGGGAGTGCTGTAAATTGGCCAAGAAATCATCTTTCCCTTGCTTTGGTTTTCAACATTAGAGTATTATTTTGGCTAGCCACTGTCAGTTGTTAAAACAGATTTGTCTGGGAATAAACTGTCATTAAATGGATGTTGTGTTAATTTTATTAGTCACTTTTGCCTTCAAATTGCTGCCTTTTATGATATTTGACTCCCCCTCTACTTTGTTTCCTTGAAGACTTAGGATTTGTAAAGAAGCAGAGAAGCTGTGTGATTCCTTACACATAAGAGTGACAGGAAGAAATAAGGTTTGAGGAGATTTTATTGAGGAGAAGTAATACGTGATTTATGTTAGGAGTGGGTAGTTAAGGAGTTATTGGAGTAGCCCATTGGTGGTAGATGGGGACTTGGTACTGTGGTAGCTTCAGAAATGAAATGAACCTGTAAAACCAAGAGATTTTACAAGATAGGAAGGTTGCGAACCTTGAAGAGTGATGAAAGTTGGAAATGGGATATGAGGGTTAACTAGCTTTACGTCTTTTAGAAAAGGGGGGACATTTTTATAGTTCAAGAATGATCCAGAGGTTATTCTTGACCTCTTGAGGTTCTTTCCTGAATTTGGGCTGGTACTAGACCTGCAGCCAATATTGAACCAGATAATTGTACTTAAAAAAGAAAGTATCTTTATATCTTGTGCTTTTTCCATCAAGGTTAGGGAACTATATACCTTGTTTCTAAAGAGAAATAATTGGATAATACTTTATCACAATGTTTGGCTTCAATGGCTTATATTTGGAATGTATTGAAGTTAGTAAAATACTATTGCTATCCTTGATCTTAGTTATTATGGTATGGTTAAGTATTAACTCATTTCTAATTCTACTATGGTTAGATTTGTTCCCTTTTTTTTTTTTTTGCGGTACACGGGCGTCTCACTGATGTGGCCTCTCCCGTTGCGGAGCACAGGCTCCGGACGCGCAGGCCTAGCGGCCATGGCTCACAGGCCTATCTGCTCCGTGGCATGTGGGATCTTCCTGGACCGGGGCACGAACCCGTGTCCCCTGCATCGGCAGGCGGACTCTCAACCACTGCGCCACCAGAGAAGCCCTGTTCTCTTTTATTATAATGTATTTCACCCTATCAGTGGACTATGTTAAACTTCACCTACAGTCACTTAAACTGTTTGTTACTGAGTATGTAGAACCTGATTGGAGATGGGGCTAAGGGCAGTATGACTACTTCTCTCTCGGAATAGAATTTTGTGGAAGATCATAAAATATTTTGGCTCCAGAACATACCAGATGCCAGTTACCCCCTCTAATATTAAAGTTGCCGTTTTCTATCAGACTTTTAGTTTTTAAAGAGCAGTTGAACATTACATACTTTTAGTTTTTAAAGAGCAGTTGAACATTACATTACAGTTAGAGCTAAAATCTAACTTTTCTTTGATTAATTAATTAATTTATTATTTTGGCTGTGTTCGGTCTTCGTTGCTGCGCGCAGGCTTTCCTAGTTGTGGTGAGCGGGGGCTACTCTTTGTTGCGGTGTGTGGGCTTCTCATTGCGTGGCTTCTCTTTTTTGCCGACTGTGGGCTCTAGAGCACGTGGGCTTCAGTAGATGCGGTGCGTGGGCTCAGTAGTTGTGGCTCGTGGGCTCTAGAGCACAGGCTCGGTAGTTGTGGCGCGTGGGCCACATGGGCTCAGCAGCATGTGGGATCTTCCCAGACCAGGCTTGAACCCGTGTCCCCTTCCAGGCTTGAACCCGTGTCCCCTGCATTGGCAGGTGGATTCTTAACCACTGCTCCACCAGGGAAGCCCCTAAAATCTGACTTCTTTATTTTCCTTCCCAGAGGTAAGGAGGACTCTGATCCTGAATTTGTTGTTTATCAGTTTTATGCATTTACTATTTATGTATTGGTAGCAGTTCTTTTTATATATATATATATATATATATTTATTTATTTTTTGTTTATTTATTTTTGGCTGCATTGGGTCTTTGTTGCTGCGCACGGGCTTTCTCTAGCTGTGGCGAGTGGGGACTACTCTTCGTTGCAGTGCCCAGGCTTCTCATTTTGGTGGCTTCTCTTGTTGTGGAGCATGGGCTGTAGGCGTGCGGGCTTCAGTAGTTGTGGCTCACAGGCTCAGTAGTTGTGGCTCGAGGGCTCTAGAGCACAGGCTCAGTAGTTGTGGCGCACGGGCTTAGTTCCTCCGCTGCATGTGGGATCTTCCTGGACCAGGGCTTGAACCCGTGTCCCCTGCATTGGCAGGCGGATTCTTAACCACTGCACCACCAGGGAAGTCCCAATAATTCTTATTATTGGTTTTTGGGTTTTTTTAAAGTTTTTATATAGTTTTTCCATTCCACATTGTTGAGATTTAGTCGTGTTGAGACATACAGTAATAATTAAATTGGTAAACAATACTCCATTAAATTCCTTTGCTACTTGTTTATATCTATAGTAGTACTTACTTTGTTTAGCTTATTATTAGTTTTTATGTTTTTCCATTCAACATTGTCTTCTGAGATATTGTCATGTTGATACAGATAGTTCTGGTTAATATGTTTCTATTGTTATAGAAAAATCCAGTAAATTATAGTGTATCTATTTCCCTGCTTTAACAAATTAAATTGTAACTAATTTTTAGTTATTACCAACTATTGCAGTGAACCTGTTTCTTCATGCAGATGTGCAGGTTATATTCTCAGAAATAGAATTTCATGATGGCTAGGTATACACATTTCCCACCTAGCCAAGTATTTCCAGATTACTCTTGAAAAGTGGTGGTGCCAGTTTTTATTATTGTTGGAAATGTATGAATTACTGTTTCCCACATCTCACTAACACTTGGTTTTTCCAATCTGGGTTTGAAATGACTTCTTAGTATTTGACCTACTAATATTTTAACCAAAAATCTAACAAGGCCTGGCATATTTTTATGTATTTATTGGCCATTTGGATCTCTCTTAATGTGAATTTTTAATTTATTCATCTTTTGTTAGATTATCTTCTTCTTAAACCTCTTTGGTGGAGTTCTGTTACATATTCTGATATGTTATTTTTAGTTTTATGTGTTACAGATATCTTTACCAACTAGTAGCTTGCCTTTAATTTTATTAAATCTTTTGCAGTGTGTTGAAAATTAGCTAAATTTTTTGTGTGTCTTATTTAAGAAATCCTTCCCTGCCCTGAAGTTCCAAAGATAATCTTATTTAAGTTTGACTTTTCAGATTGAGGAATTCCAAAAATAGTGAATTATATCATAAAGAAAGGAAGTAATTTTACTTTTTTCATGTAAAGAACTGGCATCTCAATGCCGTTTATTGAATAATTCAGTCTTTCCTCACCGCTCTGAATGCCCATCTCTTATATATATCCAGTTCTAAGTTTGGGAGTTCTGTATTCTGTCCCACTGGTCTTTTTTTCTTTCTAGACTGCCTTAATCACCATAGCTTTACCCTAAGTCTGTAGTGTGAGTTTTCACCATACTTTCTTTAGAATTTCTCTAGTGGTGTTCCTCCCCTCCACCGTTGTGGATTTTTGGATGTTTGTAAGTTTCCAGTAACAACCCTGTGGTGGGGGGAATTCCCTGGCAGCCCAATGGTTAGGACTTCGCGCTCTCACTGCAGAGGGCCCGGGTTCAGTCCCTGGTTGGGGAACTAAGATCCCATGAGCCGTGCAGCTCAGTCAAACAAACAAAAAACCCTATGGGAGATTTGATTGGAGCTTATTTGAATTTGTAGGTAGATGTGAAAATTGCCATCTTAAAAAATCTATCTCACCATTTATGTAGGTCTTTTGGTTTTATTATTTTCTCTGCAAAGATCTTTTGTGTATAATATTAGCATTTGTTAGTGTTGTAAATAGTTTAAAAAAATGAGTCTTTTCTACTTGTTGGCACTTGGAAACACTTAATTTTGGTATGTTGATCTTTACTCGGCAACTTTGCTGAATTCTTGGTTAGCTTTATAATTCGTGGTGTCTTGGATTTTCTATGTAGATACGTAATATTTATTCTTTATATGTCTTAAAGTAGAAAATACTTCTATCTCCTGAGAAATTAAAGCAATTCAGAAAAACTGTTTGCCACAGACAGGATCAGGATACTTAGAAGGCAGTTTCAGCTAGTTAATTTGGGAAGTATCTATGTGAAGAGTTTTATCCATGTGTGTCCTGTGACATACATACATAAGCATACATATAGTCTTAAGTTTTTCTTGACACTAGGGTGGTCTGTATAAGGGCATTTATAAGTTTTTCTTGACACTAGAGTGGTCTGTATAAGGGCATTTAGACATTAAAACCATCCCACTCCCATTTAGTATAAATGTTGCTGCTACTCTTGGATTTCACTCAGTTTATTTCCTTTTAGGAGGCGCAGGTCAGAATGGAGATGGGCTGCAGACCGAGCAGCTATTGTCAGCCGCTGGAACTGGCTTCAGGCTCATGTTTCTGACTTGGAATATCGAATTCGGCAGCAAACAGATATTTACAAACAGATACGTGCTAATAAGGTAAGGAATAAGTGTCTGGTCTTTTTCAGCTCAGCTAAAAACTATCATTATCCCCTTTTCCCCATCCCTCAGTAACTCTTAACTGTGTCAGAGAGAATGGTTTAATATGATCTGATACAGCGGTTTAATTTGTTTAAGAGCCTGGTGTTACTTAGCATAATGCAGACAACACTGTTAGAATATAATGTTAGATTAGCTCATGGGTTTAGAACAAAACAGTTTGAATATCTGGGCTAACAGGGAACATTTTAAAAAAGGCACTATTTAATGTAAGCCATTGACCATACCTGCATATTTGTTATATTTATGGAAAAGTGGTGATGACATTTTTTTCATCTTACTTTTTACTTAGATGCGTTTCTGTTTTACTGCTAAGCTTCCCTTGCTTTCTTGAGGAAAAATAAAGTTTTTCCTGAAAGATCATTCAGGCAAGATTAGACACTGGTAATTTCATTTTCCTTTGTTCTTCCGCTTGCAGTGGACTGACTCTTAACGATACAGCTTTTATCTTTAACAGTGATACTTGTATAGTTCTTCTTCTGAAAAATGTCCTCTGCTTATTTGGAGTTTGACTGGGGGAAAAATGTACATGGAAATAAATCCATTCAGTAAATAGTTGAGTGACTGCTGTGTACCAGCACTGTTCTCCTTAGTGGGGTCACAGTAACTAAAAATCCTCCTTTCTTGGTGCTTATGTTCTTGCAAGGTACTTATTGTGTTAGCTTGATGCAGTGACTTCCCTGACTGAACATGTGGGTCTAGATGAAGCATCTACTGCTCCTAAAAATAAGTGTCACAACGTTTTTGTCCTGCCTTAGTGCTGGTCACAGCCTTAAGAAAATTGCTATGTACCGTGAACTGCATACATTAAATGAATTAGTAGACCAAGAGTTAAAGGATGACTAATTGACAAGATGAACAAAAGGGTAAGAGTTTGAAGTAAAAGTCCTGCAGCCTCCCTTATATTATGTAAGCTTTTATTCCAAACATTTCACTGGAGCGTTCTTTGAGCTTCTTCCCCAAATGGGCTTATATGTAATTCTCCAGAAGTTCAGTAGAACATATTATAATTGAGGGCAAAGTCCAGAGGACTTACCTTAAAAAAAAAAAAAAAATTTGTTCCTTTAGGATAGGGAACACATTAAATCCTAACTTTAAAAATTAGCTAGCGCAAATGAGGAATTAAATCCAAAAACATTCACCAAGGATGGTAAACATTATGCTTAGTTCTTTTTCACAAAGAAAATTAAGTGATATTTGTAGAATATGAGCTGGAATGTTGATAAAGAATATCTGGGAGATGACTGGATATTCCTATCCTGAGGAGAAAAACAGTCTTCCTCTGTCATGGACACCTCTTCCGTGTCTGGTATTTTATAGCCAGTAGTTAAGAGAGAATGTTCATATTTGAGAACTAGAGTCTCTTAGTAACAACTGAGATTATTAGAATGGTAGTCAGTCATATTTGTTGCTTTATCTATTTTTATATACAATTATACGTACTGTGTGTTTATATATGTGTTTAGGTTATATTAGTTCCTCATTATAAAACTACTGTATTTCATAGACTCAAAGATGCTGTTGATTGTAAGCTGCACCATTGTTATGTGCCACTAAGAAGTGATTTCAGTTAAACTAAGGCATACCATCTGGAACACTGTTGTGTTTTAACTTTCATATTCAGTCAGCTTTTTTAAAAAAAAGATGCCCCCATGTCTTAAAATAAGAAAGGAAAACAGTGTCTGAACCTTGAGTGTGGACTGTATACAGGTACATTCATGTGTGTTGTTTAATGCACAAAACAACAGCTTACAGGCTTGTAAGAAGCAGAGCTAAATTTGAACTCAGGGCTATTTATCTGACCCCAAAGCATTTTCTGTCTAACATATTCTGCTGTTGTATCCTTTTCATCATTTCTCTTGGGCATATTTATTGAAATTTCACACCTGGTAAATATAACTGAGGGGGAAGGCACAGGGACCAAGAGGGTTCTGTTGCTAAAGGAGACTTCTTTCTCTTAATACACAGTCTTCTCTTAACACACAATCTTCAACATCCATGTCTAGTACAAAACATTCTATTATTTTTTTATCCCTTCTTTTGACTGATCTGTCAGATTGCACAGCACCTGCTAACTAAGGATGGAAATGTTACTGGGAATGAGAGATGGAAGAACAGTAAAACTTCTGGATAGAAAAGCTGCTGAATGGGAATAGCAGTAACCTGGAATACCTGTCTTCAGAATTGATGTAAAGTAGTTGAAGTTTCCATCTTCATAGAGTTACAAGGCATTATGGACAGCCATGTCTAGTCTAGGTAGCCCAGGACCATCTTGTGGTGCTGGTTTACAGTGAGGTCACTGATTTATCTTAAGATGGGTAGGAAAGCTTGACCTATTTAGAATGAAGTAGGAAAGTGAGTATGTGAAATTGCATCTTAATTTTGTTTTACAGATGAAGAGGTGGTTTGTTTGTTTTTTTCCCTTGTACTTTGACTCCATGTGTTACCTGAAATTGGTAAAGGGAAAGCAGTTGACCCAACTGTACAACTTAGTTTTTTCTTTTCTTTCCTTTTTGCTTGCTTGCTTTGGCCCTGTTTTATAATCAGGCTTAGCACAGTTTCTTCTACCATTTCTTCCTTTTTCAGTTTTACTTCATGTTTTTTTTCCTTTTTTAAATGTAGGACAGATTTGTATTTCCAGAGAGGAATAATTTATAAGGATATGTTACGACTTCATGCAACTGTGACCCTTCCCAATTTCTGTAGTCCTGTGTTCTGTAGTGTTTAGTTCTCTAGGCCTGGACAGTCCAGGCATGGTCCTGGTTCTCGCTTTAGGAAGTGATCGTGAAGGGTGGGCAGACTCTCCTGACCTTTTTACCTTGGCCTTAGAGTGCAGTAGCCTTGAGGTTATTGCTGCTTGTGGCTAATGTCACAGCCATGTAATGTTGACCCAGTATAAACCCCGGATGCTAGGGAATCCCAGCTTGGGGTTGCCATGACAAGTGTGGAGTGGAGCTTCATGGAGTTTTCTTTGCTAATGATGACCTTTCCTTTCGTGATTATTAACTATATTTATTAAGTATATTTTAGGAAAATTTAAGTAATCATGTAGACCTCTCCATAAAGCCTTACTTCCATCAGTCTCTTCCTTAAGCTCTGCCTCTTTTCTGCTCTCTTGTCATCTTTAAACTTCTGTTACAGCGCTGTCATTGTCATACTTGGCCTGCCTGTCTGTCTGAGGTAGACGAAGGTAGTAAGCTCCTTATGAGTGGAATGTATTTTATTTATTTTCTTATTCATAGGGTTTCACACCACCCAGCATGTGGTAGACACTCAATAAATGTCAGCTGAATGAACAGATTTTAACCGTTTGTATGCTGTTTATTGGCTCATCTTCCTTTTAGTTGCTTTCATCCTTTTTGGTATGAAGTACAGGATAAAGGATTCAGTGGTTGGTTTTGTATATGCTGTAATGAACGAACAGAGTTTTGGGGGTCAGGGCAGGAATGCATGGGGGG